GGGAGGAAAAGGAAACCAGCTGAATTTTTTACAGATTACTTTCCATTAAGCAGTTTGGCACAGACCTTTATACAAATTTGAAGCCAGAGTCAGTAGACCGATCAAATCCTCCCGGACGTTCATATGGTTCACAGATTACCTTCTCAGTGCAGTTTGTAAAGTGGAAATGAAATATTTTTTTATCAAGGGGATATTCCTAGTTTTGATAAATCAGTATCCTTTGTAATTAGGGTTAAACAGAACTTCATCTTCACCAGAAGTTTTCTTCTCTTCCTATTTTAATCCAATAAGCCAATGTGAGATATTACAAGGTTAATGAGTGTAAACATCAGTTACCTCATGATTCAATGGCTTCCAGAGAAGGTCTGAGCCGGCAGCAACAGCCATCTGACCAACACAGGCAACCAACAAGTCGTCAACTTCCTGTACAGATGGTACATTGGGATAATTTTCAATGGACACTGGGGGTTCAACGACAAGCTGTGACACCAAGGGTTTCAGCAGAATCTGTGGAATACATACGAAGATTAATATTACAAAATATCAAATGTAAAAAAAATATTACAAAATATTAAATGTATATAAGGTTATGGAAGTATGCAAGGTATGTGATAAGTTAAGTTGATCAAGGATTTTGTACCCATGACATGGCAAAAAGAAACTAATGGTATCAAGCTCATTTTCATCTTACAAAGAAACAAAAACAAAATCTTTAGTGAAAACTGAAAGTTGAAGTTTTGAATTTGGATTCGGTTTTCATTTTTGTCTAAATTGTGAAGCAAATAATGAAGACAAAAGTGCATCCTGTGAAAAATAGCGAAAGTGGGAAACAGCTCTTACCTGAAAATTAGAAGAATCCAGAAATCTTGAAATCCCCGCGTCATAGAGAAAGCATTTATGTAGAGAGGATAATATTAGAGAACGGATATGCCACACTTGAATAGGTAGGGCACCATCTGTGTCCTTGTTACTTTGAAGCTTGGCCTTCTTCTTCTGAGTCACTTCAGTTTTTGCATTGTCAGAGTCAACGAGACCTCGAACACACCCGTCAAGCAAGTATTTAAAGTATGGGACAAACAGTGATCTGATAACAAACAAAGCAAGATGAATATTTCATTTCGTGAAAATATATTAGACAAGTAAAATTTGTATGCAAAGAAAAAGAAGGATTTATACAAAGACCCTAAAAAGAACTTAAAAATGTAGCTTCAACATATAAAACAATAAAAATCGTTCAGTAAACAAACAGCCAATAGAGAAGGGTCCCTATAAGAGATGCTGGACACAGGCAAAAAGAATAATTCTTATAAGAGATGCTGGACAATATTTGTAACCAAAGTTAGAACAGCCCAGCAACCAACTGAACTTGGAAAACCAAAAGCACAGCCACATTGATTATAGCGAACTCTAGTTTGGATTTTTCCACATACATAATATGGTATAGTGGTTTAACCAATAAATTAGATAGGCACCTGGCAACAGAACAAACGCATACTTCATAACTGACGACAAAAAATGTGATTCAAAAGACAGACTTGACAAGAATTACAAAACAGCAGGAAACTTAAATACAGAAAATGCTACTGATGAGGAGATGAAGCACAGAAACCTAAACATCAAGCTTCACATGATTTATCTGCACCTTAATCAGAGACCAACCCAAACAAGTCAAGTCGAGCTGAGAGGAGAATGCTCATGTGGATGAAATTACTACTCTACTGCTGGTAATTCAGATATAAGTAATTTGCCACAATATCCCCAAGTTTTTAGTCAATTTTTCAAAATCAAAAGATGGGAGCCCAAATATGCTACACCACATGTGCAATCATGTGTACTTGTTATTGTAGGTGTGCTCGTGTTAAATTCTCAGATGCATTCCTCTTAGCTTTTTGCTGACTATATAGGAATCGTTAGTCATCCTAAGGTTTTTAAAAATATAAAACTCCAACTGAACATGAAAAGTAATAAAGGCTCTATGAAAAGCAAGTGAAGACACTCAGATCTGCCAAACATATATCAGTCGTCAGCATCAAAAATCCCCATAAAAATAACATACAAGAAAGTGAGACTAGTTTAACAACTCACCGATGCGTTTCAGCAAGTTTGTTGACCAAACTGTAGAAAGAGATAGCCCTGCTATCAGCTTTCTCAGGGGCATTTTCGTGACCTTCTGAATTCAAACCTGACCACTCGACAGTCTTGATGAAAAGAGGCCGGAACATAGTCTCAGTGAGTTTCATGGTAAGTTTGACGACAGCACTGATGACAGTTTTCTCAACGACATCAACATTCTGAACAGAGGAGGGGTACTGATTACGCAGATCAAGAGCCAGCAGGCACAAGTCAAAAACTTTTGCATGATGAACACCAACTGATGATTTATCCATTGAAGCCACCAAGTTTCCTAGCATTTCGAAAAGAATTGATAAACTTGACTCTCCGGATTGTACAGAGTCTGAGTACATTGCGAGCATTGGTGGGAGCAGTAGACGAACCTAATAAATAAAACAAAAATCAGTTACAACTGGAAATGGCAGCTTTCAGCAAGAAAAAGATGAAAGGATGATTACGGATATACTCCCACCGTGATAAGAAGAGGAAAAAACATTATGTTTTACGTTACAAAAGCCCTATATTATTTTTTATTATTTATTTATTTTTGTTTGCTTATTTGTTCTTTTTTTTTTTATTTTTACAGATTGCAATCTTAAGTTCAATGTACTTGATTGAGAAATACAAATGCTTCAAGGCAGCCCTTGTAAAACCTAATGGGCAGACATAAAACTTTACAGATTGTTGGAATGTTTTGCAATCAATCTACACGTCAGGAGTATGATTTGCAATCATTCCGAAATGAAGAGAACTGATGAGACAAGACAGGAGAAGTAACGAACAGGGATTTTTTCAGTAATTAGCTTTCGCACGACATCAGCTTTCGATTTCAACTTTGGCATCGAGATGCTGGAGGACAAAGGATGCAACAAAACTAGTCTTAAGATGTCTCCCAGGTACGGATTCAAAAATCCAGCCAGCTTATCAACAACGGCCTCCAATGTTAGAAGAACACACATGAAGACAAAATCTGCAGAATTCGAATTAACTTTAGCACCATGAACTGTTCTCTTGGTTTCTACATCCACATTGATAACATCACGCGACTTCCTCAAAACAAATTCCATAACACTGGGGAGTTCGGGCAGGGCCTTTGGGCCGAGTGCGTTAACTAAAGCACCTGTGGCCCGAAGACAATGACTAGACAGAGAAGAGTTATCAGAGCAGATTTTTCTGCAGACAGTTCCAAGGCACATGCTAAAAACTCTATCATGAGAAGGGAAAGTGTTAGCTACAACTTCCAGTGATGAAACTGCTGTCAGCTTCAAAGACGTATCATCTTGATCATCAAGTAATTTCAATATTTCCAAGCATAACGTCTCAAATGATTCCAAAGAAGCCACATTCAGGTTCAGCCACAAGTTTCTTAATCTTGACATCGAACCCTTCTTCTCAACCTTCTCATTCACAGCTAAGTCCTTCATGGTCTCGCACAGAAGCCCAAGGGCCTGTTCAAGAGAAAAACATGAAGGATAAACACCCGAGCTTTAAAGAAATTGAATCGTGCAAATTTGAAAAAAAAGGTTAGTATAAATAGAATGAGTCTATCTGAGAGCCAATACTGTACCTTCTTCCTCACATTCCTTTCTGAATGAAGAATCAATTTAGTAATGATATTGAAGTATGTTGACGGCAAAAGTCCCTTTGCAATCGTTCTTAAAACAGATCGAATATAGTCCTTCAGTTCACTCTTGATGGATGCTGGGACACCAATATGTTTCTTTTTAAAATCAACCAATTGCAGGTGACGCACAACTAGCTCCATAAGTTCACCTAACATAGCCTGCAAAAGTGATGATAACTGGGGTAAAAAGATGAAAGGTTGCAAATTTATCTTTTCCTATTACCTTAACAATAGTAAGAGAAGTACAATTTACCAATTCCAAAATGAGGATTCATTACTCAAAAGTGTAACCCCAATCAAAATAGCTATTTACCTCATAATGAAAATGTCACCTTCTCGGTAAAAAGGTATCATTTTCAAAAGGATCAAAGTTTATCAATTCAACAGTCTAAGAATACTTATCCCATAAATTACCTAAAAATTCCAAATGGCTAAGGCATAGCACTTGAGCAACTAATAAGTGTTAATAATCTCAACCAGCAGATAATGTGGAAAAACGGTATGCACTTATTCACACCTGAATGCCATTTAAATCTTCTTCCGAGTCCAGCTTGTAGGAAATATCTGAATCCTGCAGCTTGTCTGAAACTAACTGCATTGCAACCAGTATTTCGATAAATGTGTCTCCGCTCAAAGTATCGCTTTCAACTTTCTGAAGGGCTAAGATGAGGGAAGGAAGCCAAATTTTGCACGAATACTGCTCACAAAGCAGCAACGCAAATTCATACTCCCACTGCTTACAAACAACAAATGTCAGGTCATCAAAAGATTGCTCATTAACAAGGAGATATAGCTCATTCTTCCTTGAAGTTAAGGAGCGGAAAAGGAGGAATAGCAGAGAACCCAAACTTTGAGCCTCTCCCAGAGTCCTGTGAAAGAAATCTAATCAGCAGAAACTAAATGAGTAGTAGATTCCATAAAACCATTATGACAAATTTTCAGTTTCTACCTCAATATGTGTCTTATAATGGACAGCCTTCTATGTTCCGCAACTTGGGGCAATATGTTCACAAATATCTAAACGAAATCAGCAGTTTAAACTGTAAGGAAAATAACGGCTAAAACTAACCTGACTGATTCAATAGCGGAAGTTAGCTGCAGAAGATTTTACCTGAAGTAATTGGTCTGCATCATTGGTCCTAGACAACCAGTAAGGCATTATCGCTGATATAAGGCCTTCAAACACACGTTGAGAATAGGCATCCCACTGCAAAGTGCAAACACATGCAATTTTTCTTTTTCAAATTCATATCCGGTGATAGATGGTATGCATGATATACAGATATTATGTTTCAGAATAACCCATTAAAACGTTAGACCATTAAATCGTCTAAGATACAAGATGATTATCGTAGTATATCGCAAACATTACAGCAATGTTGACAGAAAACCAGAGTACTATGTACAAAAATGTAAAGTTCAGCAGTCCAAATTAAATTAATACAATACTTCAAGAAAAATAGTTTCAAAAAGGCAGAGAATCACCAAACTGCAATAATACATGCACAAACAATTGAAGAAGTCAAAAGAAATACACACACACTCACGCATGCACAAAGAAAACCCACCTGAGTTACAGTACACTCTCCAATTGCAGCTAGAATATCCAGAATTTGTTCCAAAATCTTGTCGGGTGTAATCTTTACAAGAGTCGTAATCAACGAGAAGACATGATTCCGTGTAACGGCATCACTTGAAGAACGGGCACAACTGACTAACAATGGCAAGTCAAAATTGCAGTTGATATCCTGATATGAAATGCGAGCAACTTTTGATCAGAAAGGACCATTCGGTGCATAATAAGCAAACAGAACTTAAAGGGAGGGCAAAAACCTTCTGCATCATATCATCTCCAATGGAACTGCTTATATCATCCAAAGTTAACAGCAGAGTCTGCTGAATGTAAGCTACAGTATCAGAAACAGACTGGGGGGCTCCAAATGAAGCTTTGGACGCTTTATCTTGGTCCACAACTTTAAGGATCCAATCGTCGTCCATAAATAACAAGTTCAGCAGCTTAAATAAGGGGCCAACAAGTGAAGTTCTACATAAAATGAAGTGGAATCATCGGGTTAGATAATATCAGCCACAGTAAAATCAGACTGGTTGATAAAAGTAAAGCCAAACACAACGGCACAAGATTTAATAGCACACAGCACATTACAGCAGACCTGTTATCTATGTCTTTCTTCATTAGCAACACCTCAAGAAAAGCACTCAACATAGATAGTGTGCTTTCTCTGCTCTGAGTTGCACTGCTATATGAAGGATCCTGGCGTTTGGCTGATCTTCTTTGTTTCTTCCCATGAACCAGACCTACTAACCAAGTTCTCTGATTCAAAATGGAATCAAGAACGCGTCCGAAAATTGAGCAATCCACCTGCAAAGGGAAAGTCGCTTTTCTGACATTGAAACCAATAAACTACAAGTTTAGGCACTCGTCATCTCCAATAATATAATTTAATAATGAGGCTTCCATGCTCCTCACTTATAATAAAGTTCAATTTACAAAATGAACTCTAAATATATACAAAGCTGTAATTATTCAAAGACACTAAAGAAAAATGTAAGTGAGCTACACATAACTGAAATGTTGAATCTGATTAGTAACGAAGGCCAACATAACAAAATCATGAGGCACGATTCATAAAAATATCAATCAAAACACGGAAAGGGGGAAAAGGGGATGAGGAAAAACAAAGATGAGGGGGCATACGTTAACTCGCAACAATGCATCTCTACTGGCATTCTGTAAACTAATGTTGGCACTTCTGAAAAGAACCAAAAGATTTCGGAAGATAGCTTCCTGCAGAAACATAAACCACATAAGGGGAAAATAATGAGATATCATCATATGAATGATGGAACATCACGACTACATTGGAGTCTTTTCTTAAGGCATACATAATATACATATACATATATATACACTTTTTTTTAACATAGAATCACAAATAAATCACAACAGTATCATGTTTCAGTAGGTAGTTGCACTTGTGAGTAATCAAATAGGGGATAGACACTGAGAATGATGTTCATCAGATAAGGTGCACAAAGATGAATTCCAGGACAATAATGAGAACCAAAGATTTATTAAGGAACTATATATTTTTATTTTTAAAAATACTATTTGAATCTAAGAAATTTGTCAGTTTTCTAATACTAAAGCCTGGTTTGTAAAAAATCATACCTCTGAGCTTGAGTCAAGGGAAATCCACTAACTTAATGGGACTTTTGACCTAATGAAACTGTTACATATGAGGGGAAAAAAAAAAAAAGAAAAAAAGCCATGGTGACAAACATTTTCTTAGAAATATGTACAATGAATCTTCCCTATGTTTGTAGTTGCGAATGTGTAACTTGTCTCATACTCTTCTGCAGTGCCGATTTTTTAAATCAGCCAGAGTCGACCACAAAACTTTTCTGGTTAATTTCAAAACCCAACTTAGCCATTTCAATCAATCAAGTGAATCTACGTATCATTGAGCTTCTCAAACCCCCACAACTCAGTTATTTATCTTACTAACAAGTAATGTGTTCACTCTTCTCCATTTACAAAAATTAACAATCAGCGAAATAAGCATGAAATGAACACCACATAATCAGCTTATTAGCATGATGTTTTCCTTATTCAAAATAGTTTTTCTCTGTGAAATTTATCAACCAGAGCATAACATAAATGCAAAACTCAGATTCTGTAAGAAGGGAACATGATATCAACCTGGATTTCAGTCTTCAAATCTTCATAAAAGGAACTGCTAAGAGTTTTCAGAATTGTCAAACATGGCTCCAGAACTGCAGATTCTTCAGAATCATTAACCTGAAAGTGTAACACCAAGAGGATATCAATATGAACCTTGCAAACTCGAATAAACTAAAAAAAAAAAACTAACTGCAAATGCTTCTGACCTGTAAAGCTTTTAATATGAAGTCCCCGGTATCATTAGCTTCATGAGATGAAGTTGGTCTCGTACAGCTCTGAAACATGCATAAATTAATAAATGATGGAAAATCCTGAAGTTTTGTTAATAACAAAAATATCTTGGGACCCACCTCTAATAAGAGGCACAGTATGTCAACTTCATTCTGTAACAACTTTTGACGTGGTTCGCCAACCCCAAGACAATAACGACGACTTTCCAAAAGATCGTTTAATAGTGACCTCACCCCGGAAATAGACATGAGTTTACCTTCCACGCCTTTGATCAGAGTAAGAATTTTCAGCTGCCAAGATCACAAATAAAATGGTAGCAATTCCTCAGTCAACAAAATGGATGATGCAGCTAAAATAACTGGATATTCAATCTGGATATAAGGAACTTAAGAACAGTAAAGTAGTTATGGAAAGCACACCTTCGCATGGGCAGGCAGCCCAAGAGCGCGGCTGACCATGAAATTTAGGATTTCATTTTTGGTGGACCCGTCAAATCTGAATATTCATGTAAAAAACACTAATGTCACAACACAAGCAAAGAGAACGAATATAAAAGAAGATTCCTTTCCTGTAAATAAAAAGTAATGATCCAAAAGTGAGTGTATCCTATGCACTGAAAGAGAAAAAAAAAATGAAGGTAAAGAAAAACTGGGAGAAGAATTAGAGAACTTTCCAGAAAGCATCGATAACTGTTTCTAAATTATGCAAACATCAGAAGATAAAGTCAAAAAATTAGGGGTCTGTTAACATAATAATAAACTATCAATCCTAACCTCTTCCCAACAGCCTGTTGGACCAAAAGGCCTTCAGAAGGCGAACTGAGCAAGGAAGTGAAGAAAGAAGCAAGAACATTTCTATCTGACAATATCATCTTCTTTTGCTGAATAATTAAGCTCAATATCTCCCCCAAAAACTGCAACCAGGATTCCTTGTTGCCTGCAATATTATTGTTATTGAATTAGATTTTCAGCTTAAGAAATCTCGTAAAAATTCCACAATGCCACTGCATACCTTTTGAACTAATACGGGACCATAATGCAAATAGCTCTTCAGTGCAGCTCATGGCAGCCACACGTACATTCTAGTAAAATTGGCAATATTAAGGTATTAAAATCTTGAAATTGCAGAAAACATACATAGGACAAGAAGATTTGCAGCTAGAAAAGGAAAACCCTGATAAACCAAGAAAGGGATAATCAAAGTCAATCACTAAGCACGAGCAGTGAGAAGCCAAATAGAAATTTTATTTCAAAACCTGGCTATCGCTTGATAGGGGAACAAGAACAGACGGGAAATTTGCAAGGAGCTGTAGGGCCAACCCATCATCTAACTGAGGACAAATGTTTGAGAAAGAGTGAAGGCTCTCAATTTGAGCAGCATACGGCACACCTGAAAGTTCAAACCACGTTAAAACAATTATCTAACCACCCTTTATACGGTGAAAGTACTTTCTTTGAATAGATATATATTAAAAAGGGATTTATGCCCCTCAGAGAATACCAACAGAAGGATTTATCTCTAATGAGACAAGTTATTAGGTCATAGGAACTCCATTGATTTCCAGAAGACCCCTTTTAATTCAGCATCCAAAGACCATTTCTAACCATGCATGACTAAACATGTCTAAGAAATGTTGTAAATCCCAACTCTACTTGCATCAAATCATTAACAAATAGCATTTCTATAATGTATCACAAAGGCGATATTAGTTCACACCCCTGAACTATGATATTCATATATTTTTAAGACAATGGTGATGAGAAGATATACAGATGAGTTCCGAATCACATCGAATATTTTACATAACAGGAATTTCCATTAAACAGAGAAAAGCACATAATTTAAAAATCTTCACATTCAGGAAAACACTCAAAAAAAATCATAGAACCCACTGATTCCCGCTATGCAGAGTTTTATTTTTAATGTTTTCTCAATACCAAATACATATATTATAAAAAAATGTTGACTCCCAGTTTCACATTTTCAAAATCACATTTACAATATACTACACTCATCAGTCAGATCCAAGAGAACTGTCGAGAACAAAAAAAAAGGTAATAGAAGACTATTAAAAAAAATGATTATGGCATTGTGAAACCTTCTTCAGTGAATAGTTTCAACATAATTTGCATTAGAGGGGTCTTGGACATGGTAAAGAGGTACTCCAATTGTTTCTTGAATGTGTGCTTAGAATGACAAGCAAAGAACAAAAATATATCCTGAAGCATGGTTGCCCACTTCCCCTCCATATCCTGCAACAAATGCAAGTTTAACTATAAAGGAACATATAAGAGATACTTAGTACTAGAACACAAACAATCACCAACCAACGTCACATCCTTGGGTGCTGTTACAATCAAAGCTTCTGAAAACCTCATAAACAGACAACCAAGAATCTCAGCATTAAGGTCTTTGACGTCAGTGTTGAGAAGATCTTCTAGGATTCCTTTACAATCAACACCCAGTGTTCTTTTATTGAACTGATAGCCATAAAATGGAGCATTAGAAGTTACTTTTTAAATTATAAAATGGAAACAATTAAAATGCAGCATAATAAAGTGATATACCTGCTCCGTGGATATCCCCAGAGACTCTAGCATGTTCCACTCATTTTGAAGAGTTGGAAGACAATGATCAAAAGTTACAGAAAGTCGGCCAACATCTGACATATCAAAGAGGGCAGACAAATTAACAGGTACCACCATAACTGTCTTAATACGAACATCACTACAGAACAAATTTATGATTCATGAACTCGAACAAAGAAATCTACAGGAATCAAATAAATAACAGGTTCAGACATAGAACATAAATCCAACAATAGTATACATCTTACTATTTCCAACAGAGACGCTTAACAATCTAATTGAATCAGCTCTAATTGAATCAAACTGATATATGGTTCACCTCTGCTGGGGTAAAAGAATGTTTCAGAATAAAAAAAAAAAAAAAAAATGCTTAACGAATAAAACAAAATTAACATTTGTGCATTTCTAGGTGATAAATGGGCATGGGTAGAACTCATCCTCAAAAGCTAGATGAAAGGGAGAGGGTGCCCAACCCTCACTTATAAACAATAAGTCACTAACGGCCCAGTAACTAATCAATGTTGGACAAACATAAACTCCTAACACCCGCAGAGTGGCAAAACCAACATCGCATCCAAACAAACAAAACCTGGGTGCTCTAAGACTAATACCATGATAAATGGGCATGGGTAGAACTCCAAAAAAGCTAGCTCAAAAGGAAAAGGTGCCAAACCCTCACTTATACACAATAGCTGCCCAGTAACTAATCGATGTGGGACAAACATAACTCCTAACACTAGGCAATCCAAAAAGGTGACAATTACCAACATACATCAGGAGGCAACAGCAGTCAATACCAATAGCAGGGGTATAGACTGCCAGATACAGCATCATAAGCCTTTAAACCAAGATAAAAGTGACTTTTTACCCATTTTCAACATCTTCAGTGACAGCAACACAACCAAGAAGAATAATGTCCTTGAAAATTCGTGGGAGTTGTAGCACTGTACAAGCCAAGGCATGTACTCTTCAGGGTTTAATGAGAATGCCTCTGCTAACTTACTGATATTCTCCAAATTAATAGAAGATACGTGTAAAAGATCCAATTTCTGCAACCATTACAAATTGAAATCACATGAGAATACTGAATAGAATATTGTTTCTGTTTTTTAGATGCTTAAGGTAAAGAAGCATAAAACCAGAACCATCTTTTAAATAATTATATTTAGTGGGCTATTGTCTTGCTGAACAGAGTTGGGTCTCTCTACAGAATTGTAGTTACAATATCATTGACATGCTGCATACTTAAATGTATGATATTACATAGTTTTTTTACAACGTACTGCCATCGCATAAATATAAGCAACAAGCAATATCATTCCAATATGCAGTATATTCAAATGTATGATATTGCATAAAGGTATTTTCCAAAGTACTAACATTCAAAACAAAAATATGTGCACCAAAACAATATCTTGCAAAATCGCCTTAAGGATTTACATTTTGAGCTGCCTATGTAACAAGTGAAGAAGCCCAGAGTAATACAGGACACATAAGAATACAGAATTGGCAAGTTTCTCCAAAGTACAAGTTACTGTATACAAACTTCTTATTTTAACAACATTATTCATGTTACATTACTATTCTTTCCAAACTCAGCATAGTATGCTGAATTTTATCCACATGGCCAAGCAAGGAGATTAAGAATATTCTAATCAGATGAACAGTCACGAGATGAGAAGAAATTACTACCAACATAAGATTATTCAATCAAACTAGTTTTTAATTGACTTACAAATTAGATATCATTTATCTCAGGTCACCAGGGAAGTATCTAGCATGCTGTGAAAAGCTTTCTTTAACAAGCCCAAAAAGAACTCCACAAACAATAAGGATGCAAGTGGAAAGGTACAATTCGTATACTCATGCTCTAACAATAATAAACCAATAGATGAACGGACTATGCCCATCAGAAAAAGGTCCTCAAATCACTGATTTACTTCCACAAATAAGGAAGAACTACTATAATATCTCAGTGGCACTGATCAAGAAAGCATGAAAGAGTCAATTCTTTTCTTTTGTCAGCTTAAAATGTGTGCTTTATCAAGCAATAAATGACTAAGTGAAGATATAAACACCAATACAATATATCAGCCTGGTTTTCCTATCGGATTACCTTATCAGACCCTTGAATAATTACAAGATTCTCATAGAAAGGCCACCCTATATCTTTAGCAAATTCCAAGGCCTTCAAGTTCACTTTCTGAGTCTGGTTAAAACCACAAAAACATTGAAAAAAAATTAGCCAGAATGTAAATGATTTCATAGATCATGAACACATCATTTTTCTGGTAACAAGCATATGAAAAATATAGGTACCTTAGGTCTAATAAGAAGAAGGGGGAAGATTGCTGTTGCTAATGTTTTGGCATATTGTTCCTTATCCTTGAAAGTTGTGATTACTTGTTGCAGGCACAATAAAGCAGTATTACTGGGGAGAGACGTGTTTGTTAACGAACCTGTAAAATGATAAGCAACCAGAGAAAGTAGAACATGAGTATCTTTAAGATAAAAATTAACAGGAATTCAGTGATTCTTCATTGGTTGGATAAGGGATGTAATCAAAGGGACAAAATCCGCAACTCCCTCAAAAATCTGTCTCTCTGTTCATCCCAATTACTCTTCAGTGTATTTTCAGGTATATGAGACTAAGCTTAGGACCAACCTTGACCTTATAACACTACACATAATACTATCTGATTATCGTTGCTTGAACTCTGCAACCAAGTAGTAAATGCCTATACAAGAAACAAAATGAAGGAAATATATATTTGTAGTAGCAGCTTTTGTGCAACATATTTTATCTCCATACTCCATAGCCAAACATCAAGCTTCCGTACTGACACCACTACGTCTCACTAACTGCAGCTTCACATTAGGACATCATACTCGGGCTCATCCCACTTCAACACCATAATTATCATCTAAATAACCCAAGAAGAACATAGCGATAAACCACAACCAACTTGAAAGAAATCTGCATTCAAACAATCTATAACCAACTATAACATCCACGAACTTCTCAATAAAACCTCCTAAAATCTACATGTTTGTATCTTCATTTATCGATTGACTATTTTTTTTAAAATAATTCTGTAATATGTAGAATAGTGAACAAGAGAAATTAAACAATTAAGGAGCTACTCACTTGACAGCAAAATTTCGATGCACCTTTGAAGCACATGCTGAAGTGCTTCGACTAAAAGTGGGGAACTCAATATTTCAGGTAAGTTCTTCAACTCCAGAACTGCCAGTACGACGTTTAGATCATCGTCATAAAGGCGGCGAGTAAGTGTATCTTGAATAGCATCAAACTTCTGAACAAACAGTAGAACCAAACATATTATAGCACCATAAAAATAAAGAAAAATGCTACATGTACATAATAAATGTACATAAAGATGTACATAACACTCACATGGAGTGGGGGCCACTTGATTTTTTAATTTTAGTGGGTCCCACTCAATGTGAGTGTTATGTACACCTCTATGTACAACATTATGTACCTATAGCATTACTCAAAAATAAATAAGGATCAATAACTAGAATCTAATCACAGAGGCTTATAGTCTTCAAAAAACTATACATAGCACAGGTAAACTTCTAATTTGAATTTGTTTACAATTCGGAACGTTATAGCTTAGAAGGACAAGTATCACATAAGCAGGTTGTAACAATACTGAAATCTGGTGCCCAATTAAAATCATTAAATCATTATACAAAAAACAAAAGACAATGCAAAATATGATACTTTCGCACACCAAATGAATTCATGTACATTCATTTCCGAGCTACACAAAATTAAATAAGTTTTGACGTGACGTAAAGCTCGATTAAATTAGAAGATTGTCTGTGCTAGGATCAACAATATATTGGACATCTCGCAACTAGCCAACAGAAAGCTATAGTAATTTACAACTACTTCTAACGGCTGCCAAATAAATTGGGTCAACACCGATCAGACAGAAGAAGCCACAACAAATGCTGATAACAGCTTTGGGTATAAGATGTTCCTTGAAAGAGTATAGTTTCATTATCGGTCTCAGAAGCACAGGAAGCTGGAATCATTAAGAAGTTTAGACAAAATAGTCTAGCATATAAGCAGAACAGACAGAGAACGGCAATTGTTTATTACCTTTGAACTTGTAGTTTTCTCCCTCAGAATGTTGGCGACATCCAAACCCAGAACTGCTGACCTTCGAATTTCTGCCTATAAAATAGCCAAATGACAAGTAATGCAGAAGCAAATATCAATTGTACAAAACAGATAGTTCATTGCAAATAATACAAAAACAAATATCAAATGTGCAAACGAGATAGTTCACTGCTCTAGCCTTCAGAATATAAAAACCAAATGCATAATATCATTGCGATGTCAACAATGAGACATGGTTCAATCTACAGCCAAAGGATAATACCTCTGAATGCTCCAGACCCAAAAACACTTTTGGATCAGGTATGTCTTGCGATGAGTCCAAATTTTCATCTAGTATCTTGCAGAGAAAATCATAGGTCGTATTGACTTTTGTGGAAGGCATTTTAGTGTCCTAAAGAAATTCGCATGACGAATAAAAAGAAAAAAGAACAAGAAATTAGTACAGTCACCTTCACCAGAAAATGAATCAAAGAGAAAGTAAAGGACTAACCTTTAACAGACTAAAGATAGCTTGTCTGGATTCATTAGGATACTTCTCACATATTGACACCAAAATCTGTTTGCCTTGGCTCCCTGATAAAAAAGGGCCAAGCTTCTCAAAAGGCCGTAAAAGTGCTACAAGTGTATAAACTCATTCCGCTGGAAGCATATACCAATTCTGCAATTACTGTGCAAAACCAAAGCAAGAACTAGAGCATATGAATTGCAGATCTGAGAGTAGATACAAACCTGATTTGGGTGATTCCAGATTAATCTTTCCGTTGAATACCTCTATTTGCTTAGAAAGAAGTCGCTTGACAATGCGATTAACATGGTCTTTCATAGGAACATTTTCAATTACTGACAATAAAGTGCGCTGGGACGAATCATCAGTAGCACTGCAATGCAAAATTAATTTGATTAGATAGAAATAATCAACATGTTAGAAATATATTTTTACACAACATACATATGTCTACATGTAGGTGTATACATAACCTACCTATACTCAAGTAATGAGTCCAGAAACACAATTACGAACTTATCCATGTTGAAATCCTTGGTTAATTCTGAAAGAATCTCCGAGACATCCCTTCAAATCAAGAATGCAAATAAATAAGAAACATCAATCCAGATCTTCCAAATTTAAATTTACCAGTCTATGCAATAAGCATAGACATAAGCATATTATTACCTGATATCACTTATAGCATCTACCGTCTTCTTAGGGATCAGTTCCACAGATTGAAGCTAAACAAGAAACATAATTTCAATGATCAGTCAGGAAACACAACTGCCTCAACTATATAGCTACAAGTAACGCATTCTACACCAGAGCTAATCATGCTACGAAAGTATACTAACGTAGCTAGCCTAAGATGCATAAAAATCAAGTTACTGTGATTTCAACAACTCAACTTACCATTACGCATGTGATTTAAAAAAAAAAAAAAATTAATAATAATAATAATAATAATAACAATACCTGAACAATGTTGATTACAGTCATAAATGACATGCGCAACCATTGCAAGTCACTTCTGTCTTTTGCCTCTGCCCTAGCTATGTCCGCCACCAAGTGCAACAAGCTTTTGACAACACTAGAAGCCAAGGTTGCCTTTTGCGCTAGTAAACTCGCAATCATTAAAGCCCCAGCCTGTACACAAAATAAACAATAAAATATATCTCCCGTCTTTAAGAAATTAAGACTTATAGATTTCAAATAAGAACTCAAAACTGGCGTGTTTGAACTTAACCTTCTGGTCCCGTCCTCTGGCACCAACTTGCAAACCAGAACTCACATGCGGAAAAATCCTCTTCACGATATTGCTATCAACAGTGACAAGCCCTAAAACCTCAAAAATGACAGCTGTGCAAAATGCAGTCACATGTGTCGAGGGTTGATTCTTTTTCGCAGGTGTAGCCTGAAAAATAATCACTTTGAGGCATTAATGTTGAAAAAAAAGATAAGGATACCGAAAAATCACCAACGCTAAATAAGTTCACACATAATCACAAATAGCCTCCAAAACACCCATGTCTCGAATACACTGTTGCACAATGACCTCCCTGGGCAACCGTGCTCCTGATGTCCTAACTCCATCAAGGAACTTCCATCTACTGTTTCTGTACCCAAAATTACAAGTGTCATTTATTTGGGAATGCTCTTGCAGATGAAGAAAATGGAAATAAAAATGAAGAATGGACAGAAAAGTATAGTTTCACACATCCTTCTAAACAAAGCCCTAAGTCGGACTTACCCAGTATCGATTAACTGCACTATTTTCACAAATACATGAGTGTCATGGAATGGCAATGAACACAAAATCAGGTCCTCTGCATTGTACACATGGACCCTACATTACCAAAAGAAATTGAGATAAATGAATCACAAGGTTCTAAACTCACAAACCGAGAGAAAATATCCCTCAGAATAATAAGCCCTTGTAAGAAGTGGGATGCATACTTGTATCTGCGAATTAAATACTCCAATGTCTTCAAAGCAGAAGAGAACTCAAGATATCCAGATAATAACCGCAAATAAGAGCTAATGGAGACATCAATCCGTTTGTTTTCATCTTGACCAACCAACTCTCTATCCAGCTCCTTACTCTGATGGCTGAACAGATCATTCTTATAAATGCCAAAGCGCACCTCCAAATTCGTCAGCCCCTCCAAACCTGATTTAATCAAGGATACAAACTCTTAAGAAAAATGACACGCAGTACATAGTGCCAAATTCCGAATATATGGTTTTAAAAAGGAATTTTTTTTATTTTTTTTTTTGTTCGTCTAGGACGTGATATTTTTTTAATCAATACCAGAGAGGGCAATCCCGTGGATGGTGTCGAGGTCAATATCTGCAGCTGCTTTGGCATCGAATAGAACCGAAGGACGAGTTAACGGCCTCCTCCTACCGGGTTCAGGGTCGCTAGAGGCGTTTAGGATGGTTTTGATTGCCTGTAGCTGAGATGAAATTGAAGTTCCCGCCATTGACTGTTTGGGCTCTTATAAACTAAGAACGAAACCGACTAGTAATGGAGTCTGAAAGATACGACCTCCTCGGCGGCGCTTTCTGTGCAGCGGTGCGGATGGCGGTGGTGGCGAAGGGTCCTATCTGTGGAAAGAGAAGGGTCAGGACTCAGAAATATGGAGGCAAAATAGGGTTTAGGGTTTCGGTCATTTTGTGTAATTGGGTCGAAGTAAATGCATGGAAATGAGAATATATGGGGATGCTTGTTGGGTGATTTATTTAAAAAAAAAAATATAGAAATTAAGTGGACAAAAAAAAAAAAAAAAAGAGTGGACAAGCATAAAAATCACGTATTCCTTGAATACGTTTTTCAAAAAAAATTATTTAAAAAAACGTATTCTTTGAATACGTTTTCATTTAAATGTTTTAATTAAAAAAAATCGTAAACAATTTTCAAAATAATTTTCGTTAAATAAAAAAAATAAATAAAAACCGTATTTGAGTAATACGTTTTCCGAAAAAGTATTTATTAAATGCGTCTTAAAAATATTTATTTTTTTAAAAAAAAATACATTTAAGCAAAACGTATTTAAGGAATACGTTTTACATTTAAATGCACAGAAAACGTATTCCTTAAATACGTTTTATGTAAAATATATTAAAAAAAAAAACAATCTTCTTCTCCATTCATTACGCGAACAGCACAACAGAGAGGAGCACTACTGAGAGCATAGTTTCAAAGAGGGAGAAGAGCGAAAATACTTGAGAAAAAAAACTCGATCCAATTTTCACTCTAACGTGAACCGACAACAGCGACACGAGCCTTATTTCCGGTTAATTCATTCGCACGAGGTATATTGGTTTATCTTAACTTTTTATATTTGTTTGGAGTTATTTGGAGATTGATAATTGTTATAATATGTTTGAATGTGTTGGTGTTTGAAACTTGAAATTGCTAATTGATTAATGATTATGTGTGTATGTTGAATTGGATATTGAAATATTATGTGTTAATTGTCAATTGTGTAATTGTTTGGTTGTTGTTGTGGTTAGGGTTTTTTTAAATTAGGGTTTCAATCTATCGAAATTATAGATGATTTATATGTTATTGTTCGATAAGGGGATTATTTGATTGAGAATGATTTTTTTTTATGGTTTTTTTGGTTGAAAGTGAATTATATGTTATTGATGGATTATGAGTATTAGGGTTTGATAAAAGAATTCCTGATTTTATTTTTAACAGGTATAAATGGCGTCTGCCGGACTACCATACTTTGTTAATGTGTATTGGAATTATCCCAAAGAGGTTTTAGATTCATTTTCAGATTTTATAAACCGTCCGGATGGTTCATTTTGCATTGGGGAGAAGATATCATTTCAACAATTTGTAGATATACTTTATGAAAATTTTGGTTTCCGTCGAAATGGTTTGACAATTGAGGGGATTAGTTTACTGACAAACCGACCCGATGGTTCGTGGAATATCGGAAACATGAATACTGATAGTGCCTTTGAGTGGATATATTATTTTCCTGCTTTCTCCTATGTGTATTTGCATTTAGAGTTGAAGCAGGTTACGCAGGCACCTACAGTGATTACACAGTTTGAGGATGTTCCCCCTTTTTACGGGGGAGTGCCTGATTTTGAAGGTACGTCCACTTCGCATGTTCGTAATTTTGGCGAAGGGACAAGCTCAACAGCCAGAGAAGAACCCGATGATGATTTCATTCTTGATGAAGACGATTTCACAGATGATACATCGGAAACGGAATCGGATAGATCAATAAGCGAGGAGAGTGATCCAGAGTTTATTGAAGAGCACCCATTTCCTAGTACCGGTCAACACGTGTATCGCGAGATGGGTGAGTGGGATCCGTCGTGTGTAGACCGAGATGAGCATGCTCTCCCTCGTTGGAATGGAAATGTCGATTCTATCCGTTTGGGCACTGTTTTTCGGTCCAAGGAAGAAGCACAGATTGCTATAATGAATTGGAACGTGAGTAGATTGAGGGAGGTTAGGTCAAAATATTCGAATAAGAAATCATTCAAGGTGGTGTGCAAATCCGAAGAAGCTCAGCCTTGTCCGTGGAAGGCTAGGGTGACGCACTGCACACGGGTTCATGAACTATGGGAAGTAACGGAATGGACCGAGAGGCATAGTTGTATGCAAGAAGTCGACAAAAATGACCACAGAAATGTAACCGCCACAATGATTTCAAATCTTATCATGACCAAGATTCAAAAAAAACCGGAGTACAGTGTTACCCTGATCCAGGAGGATGTAAAAAAATGTTGGAAAGTCGATGTGAGCTACAAGAAGGCGTGGCACGGGAGGAAAAAAGCCATCGACAGTTTGTATGGCACTTGGGAAGAGAACTTCGCACAACTCCCTCAGTAAGAAAAATTTTATTTGAAATGCACGTATTATTTATTTTATCTCACTATGTTTATGTATTGACGATTACGTTTTATAACGTGTAGGTTTTTTGCGGCGCTTCAAATAGCGAATCCCACTACAGTTGTACAGTGGGAATGGCAGGGTGGGGATATGGCGGCCCACTATGAGCACAGAGAATTCAAATTTGTTTTTTGGGCTTTTGGTCCCGCCATTCAGACCTTCCAGAGATGCCCGCTGGTAATTAGCATGGACGGCACGCATTTGCGTGGCTCGTACAAGGGGAAGTTGCTTATGGCCGTTGCACAAACTGCAAATAAGCGGTTATTGCCAATCGTGTATGCGATTGTGGATGAACAGAGCAGGGAAAGCTGGTCATTTTTCCTGACCAATCTACGGCAACATGTTGTCGGCGACAGACAGATATGCTTTCTTTCGGACAGGGATGGTGGCTTACAGAGTGTCGTGGATTCATTGGCGGCTTGGCAAGAACCCGCTGCATATCACCGCATCTGTCTTCGACACCTTCGGAGCAACGTTGTTACTAGGTACAGGAATAGCAAAATCCGAAATTGGTGTTGGGAGTTGGGTTCACAGCTTTCAGAGCGAAAATTTCAACAGATACGAGAGCGGCTTTCGGATTTTAATCCGGATGCATACAATTACCTGTTCGGAATTCCTCTGAACAAGTGGACCCTACTTGGAGATGAGGGAGGACGTAGATGGGGTACATTGACGACCAATATGTCCGAGAGTTACAACAACGTCCTGAAAGGTGTTAGGTTCTTGCCCTGCCGAGCTTTGGTACGCGCCACATTCATGAAAACTCTGGACTTGTTTGAGCAGGAACAAAAAAAGTCCACGAGATGCAGTAATGCCATTGCTAGTGCCCACTATGCGGCTTTTTGCGAATTGGAGAGTACGGCCGCAAATCATAGGGTGAGATGTGCGAACGCTGCGAGATCTCTATACGAGGTGACAACGGGTCTACGACCGAGTGGTAGAGGGGACAAAACGTATGTGGTTTATTTATTTATTTTATAATTTTAATTTTTTTTAATTTTGTTCACTAAAATTTTTAGTTGTTTATAAATATAATTCAATGTGTGGAAAAACAGGTGTAAGGTTTGGTTCGACGAGAGGCGTTGTCGTTGTCTGAAGTGGCAGACACATAGGAAACCATGCTCTCATGCTATAGCTGTGTGTCGACAACTTAATACTCCACCGAAGTTATTGTACGATACATATTTTTGGACGGAGACCTGGGTAGCTCAGTTTTCTAATTGGACTTTTGCTCTGGTTGGTGATCCGGACACATGGCCGATGGTCGGATGGACCTTACTACCACATTGGGAGAGGATGATCACGAAGGTTGGACCCGGTCGCGCGTAAACGAGGCGTTATCGCATGCAAATGGATCGTCGGGCACGCCGCCGGAGTGATAGAGGGCAGTGCAGTAGATGTGGTGATACAGAGCATTTTGTGGATGACTGTCCGTCCTCACATCCTCGCACTGATAGATCTAGACGCCTTGATGAGTGGGGAAACTAGATTTGTTAGTGTGTATTTTTTTTTATGTGGGACTATTTTTTTTTATTGTTTACTTTGATTTGTTGGACTATGTTTGGATTATATATTTTTGTTATCTTGGACTGTATATGAGTTGGTTTGTTTGTGTTTTTATTTTTAGGTGATTGTTCTGAAATTGTGTAACAGGTTGTAACAATTTTGGTGTAACAGCTCTGAATGTTTTTGCTCTCTGTTCCAGAATTTTTTTTTTTTATGTCCCAGGAAACCGTATTCACAGAATACGGTTTATATGATGATTTAATTGTAAACCGTATTCAGTGAATACGGTTTACTTAATTAATTATTTATAAACCGTATTAAGAGAATACGGTTTACTTAATGAATTATTTGTAAGCCGTATTTCTTAAATACGGTTTCTTAAAAAAAAAAAAAAGATACAAGGATCCCAGATTGGGGACTCGAACCTGGGTCTATGGGTGAGTCCGGTTTCTCTCGGCGCACCTCGTACCATTGTGCCGCCAGGCACCTTGCGTTTATTTCTGCGCAAATTATACACATATACATATACTATAAATTCAATATATTATATACTATATGTTTATTATATACATATAATATAATATAACATATGTTATTATATGTTATAACATTGAAGTCGAATTAGTACAATCGAAGTCAAATTAATACAATTGAACTCGAATTAATACAATTGAAGTTGAATTCGTACAATTGAAGTCGAATTTGTACACTCAAAGTCAAATTAATACAATTGAACTCGAATTAATACAATTGAACTCGAATTAGTACAATCGAAGTCAAATTAATACAATTGAAGTCAAATTAATACAATTGAACTCAAATTAGTACAATCAAAGTCAAATTAATACAATTGAACTCAAATTAATACAATTGAAGTCAAATTAATACAATTGAAGTTGAATTCGTACAATTGAAGTCGAATTAGTACAATCGAAGTCAAATTAATACAATTGAACTCGAATTAATACAATTAAAGTCGAATTAGTACAATCGAAGTCAAATTAATACAATTGAACTCGAATTAGTACAATCGAAGTCAAATTAATACAATTGAAC